TGATTCTTGCTATGCAAGTGTTTCCAAATAGTCAAAGAAAATTTGATCAGTTAATCATTAAACTAAATAGAGATTTTTTCTCATTATTAGGAAATGGAAATTGTTGGCTTCACGTTTAACTAGTTGGTGGTTAAAAGCTAAATTTTTTCTGGATAGGACTTAGGTGCTCAAGTGCTCCTAAATAGTCAAAGAAAAACATGAATTAGTTATATTATTTGAATTATAGATTTTTTTTGTATTATTATAGGGAACTGAACTACTGGCCTTACGTTTACTTGGGGGTGTAAATATTTGCAGCGAAACTGATAACACTGATAACAGTGGCTATAATGTTGTAATAATTGGAATTAGGTGCTATCTTAGTGCTCCTGAATAGTCGAAGAAAAACTTGAACTATCTAAAACTTCAACTTTTTGGGAGCACTTAAATAGCACCAAATTCCAATACAACATTTTAGTCGCAGTTTTCAGATTCGCTGCAATGCAAATACATCCCCAAGTAAATGTAAAGCCAGCAATTCCTTAATGAAAAAAAAATTTGTACTTCAGTTTAATAATTAACTGATTCAAGTTTTTCTTCAAATATTGAGAAGCACTTAAATAGCACTAATTCCTATCCATAAACATTTTAGCTCTGACACACCACCAACTGAACGTGAAGCCAATAATTTGCCAATAATGAAAAAAAACTGTAATTCAGTTAATAATTAACAGATTCAAGTGTTTCTTTGACAATTTAGGAGCACTTAAATATATAGTAGGTACCTAAATTCAATCCAAAAACATTTCAGCCTTTAACGGTTTAACGGCCAATTTCATGATAGAGAATTAAAAGTTACTTTAGCTAAATAGACTTTTAGGATGGGATTTTTCTACTTCAAATGGACCTTTATATTTAAAGTTTACTTTAAGTTGATTATGAAATTGGCTGTAAGCCTCTAACACACCCCCAATAAGTAAACGTGAATCCAGGAATTTCCTAATATTGAAAAAAAATCTGTAATTCAGTTAATAATTAACTGATTCAATTTTTTCTTTGACCAGGTATTTAGGAGAACTTTAAAAAGCATATTATCTAAATTCTGATACCAAAGAAAAATTTAAAAAAATATTTTTCACTACAGGGGACTGCTATATTTCATATTAACCTAGCAATCCCTTCGTTTTTTTCCATATGGGACTGCTAGGTTTATTGACCTAATATTCTGGGAAATCAATAAATAATACAACCCCATATGATTTTAAATCTGGGGAGATACTTTGATAGGTATATGTATTATTGACTTTACATTTATAAATAATTTTACACGTCTGTATAAACTCTACAAGGACTCTACGCTTTAATAAATAAGTATATTATATATTTCTAAAATCTTAACTCTACTGTAGACTGTAGTTAATAAAAATAAAGTCCACAATCATTCACTAAATACAAATACATTTTTTAATTTATTTTTATTATTATCAGCTGATTACACCAGATGTTCCGCGCGCCTGCCGCGTACACAAAACCTTCATAAGCTTCAACTACTCTTGCTACTCCTCCGCGATCATGTTAACTGATCCCGATCATAGCCGATCGCGTTCGTGAGTAGACCATTTGCGGATTAGCACAAATGCACAGTAGCACAAATGGAGCCATCTCATTTGCTCTACCCACCCGAAGTCGCCTTCGGGCGGGAACGTCGGACGAGCCGAAGTCCGACCGGAGTATGACCCTCATCGAAACGAATGCAGTTGTTGTAGCGCAAATGGGTACAGCGTTGCCGTTCCCTCTCCATCTGGCGGGTATTTAAAATAGAAAATAGAATTCTATTTCGATATTTTTCAAGTATTGAGTGGGTGTGGTGTTTTGTTTACTTTAAAAATGGATTATTGGTTAAATATTAATTTATTTTAACCTTCCATCGCGAGTTTTATAACATCATTAGTCACGCTGTATCACCAGAGATACATATACTAAATCATTGATAAAAAAATTGAACCATCTGATGAATTTCGGTTTTACAATTTCTATGTATTGATTCGGGTACTCAACAATCAAAGATAGAACATTTTCACTGAGAAAGAGATTCCAGAAGTTGAATTCTATTTTCGCTATCTTAATGTTTCGAGCGCGCTCGGACTGCTCGGAGTTTACCGAGTGTAAAGCCACTGTGTGCAGAAGCTAGTTTCTGGATAGGAATTAGCAAATAAGCTATCCAAGTGCTCCTAAATAGTCGAAGAAGAACAGTCATTCAGATTTTTTTCATTACCAGGAATCACCTTTTCTACATTTAAAATCGATGAAGAAACAAGCACAACCTGAATCGCAAGCATCCCATCGAGACTTGCGGGTGACGTCACCACTATAAGAGGCTATGCTGCTAATAGTACTAACGTCACTCGCAGGCCTTGCCGACTCGAGAATTGGCGAACGTACGCCTTATAAGGAAAAGCAATCCTATAGTTTATGATTCTTGCTATGCAAGTGTTTCCAAATAGTCAAAAAAAATTTGATCAGTTAATCATTAAACTAAATAGAGATTTTTTCTCATTATTAGGAAATGGAAATTGTTGGCTTCACGTTTAACTAGTTGGTGGTTAAAAGCTAATTTTTTTCTGGATAGGACTTAGGTGCTCAAGTGCTCCTAAATAGTCAAAGAAAAACATGAATTAGTTATATTATTTGAATTATAGATTTTTTTTGTATTATTATAGGGAACTGAACTACTGGCCTTACGTTTACTTGGGGGTGTAAATATTTGCAGCGAAATTGATAACACTGATAACAGTGGCTATAATGTTGTAATAATTGGAATTAGGTGCTATCTTAGTGCTCCTGAATAGTCGAAGAAAAACTTGAACTATCTAAAACTTCAACTTTTTGGGAGCACTTAAATAGCACCAAATTCCAATACAACATTTTAGTCGCAGTTTTCAGATTCGCTGCAATGCAAATACATCCCCAAGTAAATGTAAAGCCAGCAATTCCTTAATGAAAAAAAAATTTGTACTTCAGTTTAATAATTAACTGATTCAAGTTTTTCTTCAAATATTGAGAAGCACTTAAATAGCACTAATTCCTATCCATAAACATTTTAGCTCTGACACACCACCAACTGAACGTGAAGCCAATAATTTGCCAATAATGAAAAAAAACTGTAATTCAGTTAATAATTAACAGATTCAAGTGTTTCTTTGACAATTTAGGAGCACTTAAATAGTAGGTACCTAAATTCAATCCAAAAACATTTCAGCCTTTAACGGTTTAACGGCCAATTTCATAATAGAGAATTAAAAGTTACTTTAGCTAAATAGACTTTTAGGATGGGATTTTTCTACTTCAAATGGACCTTTATATTTAAAGTTTGCTTTAAGTTGATTATGAAATTGGCTGTAAGCCTCTAACACACCCCCAATAAGTAAACGTGAATCCAGGAATTTCCTAATATTGAAAAAAAATCTGTAATTCAGTTAATAATTAACTGATTCAATTTTTTCTTTGACCAGGTATTTAGGAGAACTTTAAAAAGCATATTATCTAAATTCTGTTACCAAAGAAAAATTTAAAAAAATATTTTTCACTACAGGGGACTGCTATATTTCATATTAACCTAGCAATCCCTTCGTTTTTTTCCATATGGGACTGCTAGGTTTATTGACCTAATATTCTGGGAAATCAATAAATAATACAACCCCATATGATTTTAAATCTGGGGAGATACTTTGATAGGTATATGTATTATTGACTTTACATTTATAAATAATTTTACACGTCTGTATAAACTCTACAAGGACTCTACGCTTTAATAAATAAGTATATTATATATTTCTAAAATCTTAACTCTACTGTAGACTGTAGTTAATAAAAATAAAGTCCACAATCATTCACTAAATACAAATACATTTTTTAATTTATTTTTATTATTATCAGCTGATTACACCAGATGTTCCGCGCGCCCGCCGCGTACACAAAACCTTCATAAGCTTCAACTACTCTTGCTACTCCTCCGCGATCATGTTAACTGATCCCGATCATAGCCGATCGCGTTCGTGAGTAGACCATTTGCGGATTAGCACAAATGCACAGTAGCACAAATGGAGCCATCTCAAATCTCGGAACCTGGTTGTATTCGTCTAAAACGCCCACCTGAATCGTTTTATCTTTGTTAAGATAACCAGATAAAGAAGGATGCGAATATTATTAGAGCAAGCCCGACCATAATCGCGAATGCGCCCTCGTATTCGTAGTAAGAAATGTCAAACGGGTTTGGTTTGTAATTGGTCCGGATAGTCCGCAATCTTATCCCCACTCCATGTAATTCATTCATTAATCCACTATTGTCGTTTAGGATTGTTGGCCGCAGAAACCAAGTGATTTTATAAATGACTTGCCCTCTCTATTTATGTAGTGTTACTCTAAGATTCAACATCATGGGTTGTTTGTGTTTCACTCAGTAGAATGACAGGGAAGACTTTCTGTAGAAATCTTACTTGAGTGTAAATTATAATCATATTACACATTAAGTAACGTTTATAACGGTGATAACTTTTTCACTGCTCCCGCTTTGAGTCAGCAAGTGTCTGACCATGACAGAAGAGTTTTGCGTTACGATGTTTTTCTGTGTCTCTCAGGCATTTGGCAGGGTGGTTGGTTGAGCATAATGTCTCTTCTGCACTTGTCAGATCTCATCTCAGAAATGCTCTGCTCTTCTGAGAGCCGGCTACCAATATTGAAAGATATATCTGTTTTTATTCTATAAAAAAAAAACTGTATCTATATCAATCATCATATTCTTAGCATGCAATCGTTACTTATTCTTGAGACTGTGCAGTTCTGGAATGCGAAACGGTCTTTGCTTATAATTTTTTTTTTTTTGAATAATTTCAAATAGATATTTTCATGTGCCTTAAGCAAAGAGGTTATTTTCTATGTAATTAAAATGACCTCTAACAGATTATTAGGAAGGAAATCATCTATCTTACAGCTATTAGTGATTATCAAATTTCATTTTCCAGAAATAACAATCGACCGTTTAGAAGCCTTCATACCACAAATGCTATCAAAAATGCACATAGAATGTCTGGTCCATGGTAATGCCACCAAGGAAAAAGCATTGCAAATGGTCCAAATCGTGGAAGGCGCTCTGACATCATCTGCAAACATATCTCCGTTGCTCCCCAGACAGTTGCTACTCAATAGAGAGTTAAAATTGGAAGATGGCTGTCATTATTTGTACGAGAAACAAAATGAAGTCCACAAAAGCTCTTGTATTGAAGTCTATTATCAGTGCGGCTTGCAGTCAAGAGAGAACAACGTCAAATTGGAATTATTTTGTCAATTAATTCAAGAGCCTTGTTTTAATATTTTGAGGACTAAGGTAATGATTGTTACTGTAGCGTGAAAATTTTAAATTAAAAATTACCTTTCAGGAGCAACTTGGTTATATAGTATTCAGTGGAGTTAGAAAATCTAATGGGGTTCAAGGCTTGAGGATAATAGTTCAATCTGATAGACATCCAAGTTATTTGGATGGGAGAATTGAGGAATTTTTAGATAATATGAAAAAATATATTGATGATATGAGCGAAGAAGAGTTTTTAAGGTGGGAATTGGTTATTTTCTCATCCAATCTACATTCTAACAAATTTTTATATTTTCTGACAATTCTTCAGGCATCGTGAAGCATTAGCAGCTCAAAGATTAGAAAAACCCAAACAGCTATCATCTCAAACTAGTCAATTTTGGGGGGAAATTACCTCGCAGCAGTACCATTTCAACCGGGCTGAATCTGAAGTAGTTTATTTGAGGACATTAAATAAAAGTGATGTGATTGAATTTCATCAGGTAGAAAAAAATATATTATTTTTTATTAATTGGATAGTTACATGGCCTATTTTAGGATCTGCTTCAAAATGAGGCAAAAAGACGTAAGAAACTATCAGTTCATATAATTTCTGTGGCAGAAGGAGGTGCTGGCATCGACTTAGAAAAAGAGGCAGACAAACATAACGGTGTAGATTCAGAATTGGCTGTTACTGCAACACTGCCAAGTGTTATTAATGATATAACGGTGTTCAAGAGTTCCCATGAAATGCATCCCTTAGTACAACCCTACATTAATATATCTAGGAAAGGAAATAAATGTAAATTGTGAGATAAATGGGAGTAGACAAAATTAGGATCTCAGGTTTTACTTGTGAAGTAAGTTTAAATAATTCAAATTGTTTCAATTATTGAAACTTTTTATTCAGAATATATTGGGTGATTTTAATAAATGAAATTATTCAGGAAATTTTGGAAAAGGGTTTTATTTTTCCTGGCTGCTGAACCAAACTAAAGTTTCAGAAGACACACAACACAACACCTAGTTTTATGGAATGATATGAAAAGACGTAGGGGACTCCCCTAACTTCTTTGTTCGCTGCTACTCTATAGCAGCATCACTATAGATTTCATGGAAAATGGCTTAACCGTAGTAGTTTGAGTAAGACAACGATGATAGTTGAATACTGATTTTATTAGGTAAAAATATCACAATTTATATTAATCTATGTCAACAGTTATTTATTATACAGGACGGTAAAAAGATGCTTTACCTGTGAGCGGAAAATGTTGATTCACGAGCGACGAAGGAGCGAGTGGATTAATTCCACGAACAGGTAAAGCTTTTTTACCTTCGTGTGTAATATTCTATTTTATTCTTGAGCAACATTTTATTTATCACAATTACTAAGATCATAAACTAAAATGTGCTAAAATTTTACATAGATTATGACAAATTGACAAAGTACCTAACAAACTGACACATTTCTGGTGTTGTCAATCATGTCACATATCAGATTTCTGTCAAAAACACTATAATTATTATAAAAGATTTGAACAAGTGGGTAAAATTGACGTATGAGTGGGTAAAATTGACAAATGAGTGGGTAAAAATTGTTCGATTTCACTACTTCAAACAATGTGTTACTTTAACATTGAGTTTTGAGTCGATTAAATGATAGTTTACCATTCGCGATAGAATAAAATAATTTTATCCCATTTTGACGTTTAAAAATGACATTATTGAACGCATAATAACAAAGGTAAGTAGACGTTTATCACCTGAGTGACTTAAAATATTTTTAACTCACTCTCGGTCTTTAAGTCACTCTGCTAGTATAAAAATCTGCTACAAATACAAACAAACAACTAGTAATACCCTAGCAACTACCAGTTTCAACATAAGATTTGCGCTCGCTAAATGAATTCTTTTTATAATTTTGATTCCTATTAAGTACCTTATTTTTCAAATGTCCATCAAAATGGGATAAAATTTTGTATACATCACGTGAGTTAAAATGTTTATTCATTCGAAGGTTGGGTTAAACTTTCTTCTCATGAATAAACATTCATTTAACTCACTTGGTGTATAAATAACTATTAATAATAATTTGTCATAATTTCCAAATATTTAATTCTCTAACCTTGTTACGACATGAACCTATTATGTTTCGGAATAGTATAAGGTCGACACTTTTGGTAACCTGACACGCTTGACCGTGAATATTTTATTATATTATTTCTATTGAACAATTGTTTTTAAATAAGGAAATTCCAGGCAGTTAATTAATCTTTTTTTCTTATGTGCATCAAATGGCCAAAATTATCAGAAATGCTTTTGGGCGCATGGCAACTAGACAGATAATTAACGTCTTTAACATGAAACAGTTTTTCTTGAAATGTGGCATATTGATTAAATACCCTCCATATAAAATAGTAACAAATAACATACGTTTTCATTATTGGGCTGCTAACCCAGATCATGCTTGATACAACCTGAATATTCAGTAGTCTACATTTAACTTTTACTGCCTATAAAACAATATAATGGGGACACCATACAGATTGCTGTAACTTCTAATAAGTCGTAAAACTATTTTTGGGAATTTTAAAACATTAACATCTTAGAATCTAAGTAAGAATGGCGTTGATTTTTTTCCGACTATTTTTTTTAGTGGAATGTGTTTTTAGTTTACCTTTATCAGCAACAGGTATGTACTTAATTATTTTTTGCTCCAAGTTTAAAACAACATAATATTAGATAACACTCCAATAGAGACACAACATGCAGTGTGTAAAGTATTTACCAAAGAAATAGAAGCTACTGCCAAGGCTACTATTACACGTCAGCTAAAAGGAGTTTGTTCTACAAGTAAGTGAAAGTTTCGAAAATCCAGACTCATTGCTCAAGTATATTTTAGGAGATTTAAATTTGCGTTTTGATGAGCTTTATGACCATTTGCAACAAATCAAAAGAGTTTTGGGACTGCGAGAGGTTCAAAGTCAGTACAAAAGTTTAGAATCAAGTGTTGCAGATGCTAAACAGATTACCACAACTGAATTGCCAGTAGATACTGATTATGATTTAATAAATGAGAATCTTGATTTGAATGAAGAGATTGTTAATTTTAATGACACTGTAATAGAGAGCAGTGAAGGCGACTTATTTTATTATTATTGGAAAATTTTGGATATTAGAAAGTTGCTGAGAAAAAGGGATATTTATGTTACAAGTCCACCGATGTCTGTCTTGGGTAAGTAAATATTTCTTATTATTCAACTATAAACTAGAGTTCATTTATTTTAGGTCATACGCTCTACATGCAATTCTACCCAAACTATAACAACGACTATGTCGGAATAGTTCTTAAGCCTGATAGTAACTCTTTTTTAAAGAAGCACAAAATAGTGTTTCTGGGCCAAAATTCTGCACAAAATAAAATTTCATCTAAAATATTGTATGGGGTGAAAAACGAAGATAGGATATTTAAAATAGAATCTGAAATGTTGGATGATTTTATTAATACTGATAGTTTGTTGGTGAAAGTAAAGATTTATTTGAATTCTTAATGGTTGAATGAGAAATAAATGTGATTTGGATTTTTTTGCACTTTCTGTTGTTTGTATTTGTCTCTGTGCAAATATTCTGGTAAAACCGAATGGCACTTTACAATTTTTGGTATGCAAAAAGGCACAAATGACAATCGTAGCCAAATGGTGTTGGTTTACCATCAAGTACTGTGTAAAACGAAATTTTAATCATTAATACTAAAACAAAACAATTCAATTAATGATACATAAACTAATTTAATAACGGAATGTATGTAACAAAAATTAAATCCATGCAAATATCACTTAAGTCGCATAGTATAAGCCTCCCACAACAAATTCCTATACAACTTGGCAGTTTCAACAGGATCCTTGGCCTCCGTAATGCCTCTTCCAACCACGGCAATGTCAGCCCCTTTTTTCCCAACAACAAATTCCGGGGAATTGTACTGCTGCCCCATGTTATCAGACGTCTTGTTAATATTCACTCCAGGTGTCAATTGAATGAGGCCCGGATTGTCGAGGAACAAATTGTTTTGGCAAACAATTCCTGCCACTAGCTGCGGATAATCAGAGGCTAGTTTTACGGTTGATTTTGTGTATGATTCTGTTATAAGGCTACCGGCGGCGCTGGTTTCTGCCAAGAGAAATACTCCGCACGAGTCAAGCGAGGCTGCCTTGATGCCATCCAAAACTCCTTTTCCCAATAAAGAATGCGCAGTCACCAAACTGGCCCACGAAGAAATCAGGTGTATGCCTTTGCTAAATTGTAATTCCACTGTTTTACCAATATCGGCAAACTTTCGATCTTCAAACAACAAGAAATTGTGCCTGTGAGCGATTTCCTTTAAAGGCGATAAAAGATTGCTACTGAAATCCTCAATAATATCGATATGGGTTTTTAAGGCACAAATATAAGGCCCTACTTGTTCAGCCAAATTAAGCAAATCACTAGCAACAGTTACATCTGCGGCCAAACAAAGATTAGTTTGTTTTGTTGACATTATTTGAAATAGTTTTTCAGCTACAACATTTTTAGTAAGTTTAGCCCGTTCCTGGTAAGATAACTTCAACCGATCTAAAATAAAATCCCAAATACATTTTTGTTAGAATAATTATTAATGCTACAAACTTACTAATTGCAGGCAAAACAGCATCTTTTACTTGGTTTTCAGCTAAATATTGTTTAACTTTCTCATTAGTAGCAACATCGATGCACTTAGCTTCAATCAAATAGCTGATTAGTTGAGATAGAGTTAATAGGGCGTGCATATTGATGCCGTTATTTTTTAAAATATTCGCACCCCCTTGTTCTCGATTCAAAAGCACAATGGCATCTGAACACTTGATACCTAAAACCGTAAATTAAATATTTCAATTAATGTGCAAATATAATATTACATTCAGATATATAGTCTGGCAAGTGGTAAGTTGTTAGAGACGAAAGGGGGAAGAAAAGTGGGGCGTAACCTAAGAATATTTACTGACACCTCAACCACAAACCTCAACTGACACCGTTCGATGACCGCCATGTCTTTGGGTTCAGTGGCACAAAAAAAACCAAGGAAATGAACCAATATGTTTTTTTTTTTAAAGTTTCGCCAATAACCACGCCACTGTGCTGTCGTTCAGGCTCTAACCTTAGGCTCTAACCAATAGAATCAATGCCTCTGACTAATCACGCCTCTCCACATCCATCATTTCGCAAAGTTGCCGGATTTTTTTCTATTTTAAAATTCCACATGCCCATGCCCCATATAGCAAAAAAAAATATATCACCAACTTGTTTATTATTGTTTCCGGCAAGTTTGGCAAAGCAGCAAATTCTATTGCAACTCGCCGTTTGGCTAGCCAGACAAGAAGCTGCCCAACACATTTTATGCACTCTGAGGAACGGTTGAAGTCAAATTTAAGTTCACCTGTGCTAGTCAAAGATGTTTGAAAAAGTTGTTCATCAGCAACTTTTGTCATTTGTTGAAGAAAACAGCTTACTGCTAAATGAACAATCAAAATTTAGAAAATCGTACGGTACAAGCACAGTGCTGTTGAGTGACTGATTTGTACAATAATCGAATCCTTATCCTTCTGGACATGACATGTCCAAATCATTTGATAGTATCAATAGGGAACTTGCACATCAAATTAAATATGGAATAAATAACAAATCACAATAACAATCATCCTAATGAATGATGCAATTAGGAAAAAAAATTAATATCTTATCTCTGGTGTCCAAAATCTTCAATTGAAAATACCAAATAATTCGAAATTCATGACGCGATCAAAAACGTATTTCTATGGGTCATGACGTCACAGGGCAGTAATAATCGGGTCGCACCGCTGCCGCGTCATGTGCTGCTGGTATCGCCAATGTCAAATCTATCAAAAACTGCATACATAACAACATAACCATAATCTTAATCTACCTGCTTGAAGTTTGAAGTGCTCGACACTGTGATCGGAATTTTGTTGCCGAGTGACGTCACACTGATCGGTCGTTTCAAATGGCGATGTTTCGAGCGTAACTTCAAATATTTATAAAAAATAACGGCTGATTTTTAATGCCTGATATTTGGTATGACTATGTCTTTAGTGAAATAGAACACATTTTTGAATTAAAAAAAAAATGTGCAAGATCCCTATTATGATCTTCCATCCAAGCTTGTGCTATGGTTTTCAAGAAATACCTTTGCAATGCTTTGAGATTTTGAGAATCGCTTATTTAACAAACACCAAACTGTGGAATTGAGGAGTAAATCTGGCCTGGTGCTGCCTCAAGATTTTGGTTGTGCATAAAGTATTGTCAACTTCATTGTTACACAGATAACATACAACTTATGTATGATTTTAACTTTCAAGGCATCAACAAGACAATTAGTTTAGTCAACAAAGATTTACAAAGCTTAATTTACTGGACAAATATAAACAGTTTTAAGCCGGAGTCTCATGCATATGTTTTCCGACGAAAGATGTCCGAAAAACCTTCTATTCTGACATAATCGTAAGAAAATATGTCAAAATAGAAAATTTTTCGGACATCTTTTGTCAGTTAAGGCCCCCACAGACTGCGTTTTTGTTTGACGGTTTTGTTCGACGAGCAAATCTGGTCGAGCAAAAACGACGGGTCGCAGTTGCACACACACCTCGGTTTAGTTTGGCGAACATCAGTCATGTTGGAAAGTTTTTTTTTTTTTTTTTTTCAAAATTTTAATAATGTAAAATTATGTAGCTACGCACTACCCACCACACAAACCCGTCGTTTCTAAAATTCGTAGCCCACACACTTCAGATTTGTTGACATATCGAACATATCCGACGGACAAAATCAGGTGAAGCCAGGTATTTGCATCGGTTTTGTATGCCAGCAAAAATGACAATTTTTCGCACGCACACTTCGGTTTTACGTCGTTTTTGCTCGACCAGATTTGCTCGTCGAACAAATCCATCCAACAAAAACGCAGTCTGTGGGGCCCTTAAGTCTGGGAGACGACCGCGTTTTTTCTACCCCGATCGAGTTATGTGTCGACACTATTATCAATACATATATCGTATTATCTGCATCTATTAACCGGTATTCCTGCCTGAGAGCAAATGCTGCCGGAATTATCTTTCAACAAATTATTAACAAATTGGAAAAAAAGGAACACTACCCCCATCGAGTTATGCCCTAAGTAGGGTATCAGATTAAAGGTCTCGATGTCCTCTATCTAAAAAGTCGATCCTGCCTCGTGAAAACTTGTTGAAAAAAGGTGGCAGGGCAGCTTATTGGGGCAAGGGCCCGCGGTCTCAGCTTTGACACCTATCAAGTTTTACACCAGATATTTTTACACTGAATGATGTGTCAAATTAAAGGTGTTAATAAGTTGATTCAAGGTCTGTTCGCACAGAAATCACAAATCAGTCAGAGCGAATTTCATTGGTTGGAAACAGTCAGGAAACTAGTTTCAACCAATGAAATTCACTCCCTCTGGTTTGGGATTTCTGTGCGAAGAAACCTTAAATCAACTTACTAACACCTTTAATTTGACACATCATTCAGGGTAAAACTTGATCTATGAACTTGATAGGTGTCAAAGCTGAGACCGCTGGCCCTTGCCCCAATAAGCTGCCCTGCCACCTTTTTCCGGCAAGTTTTCACGAGGCAGGATCGACTTTTTAGATAGAGGACATCGAGACCTTTAATCTGATACCCTACTTAGGGCATAGCATAACTCGATATGGGTAATGTTTGGACATTCAAATCTATTTGAACATTCAAATCAAATTTCTTATATCAGACTGTTATATTGAACAAAAGTGTAGCAACATTCTTAAACATGGCAACGCCGTAATAAACCTAGCAACTCAAAAGGATCTGGCAACGCGCAAGAACAGCTGCAGGAAGAACGGCAAGCGACCAATAGCATGGCTCAGCGCGACCAATAGGATCGCTCGGCGCGACCAATAAGGAGAGACGGATTCGAGAGCATGTCACGACATCACGTTGTTATTGTTGGACTAATAATCAATAAATCAATTAAAAATTCGTTTTGTACCGCAATAAATGGTTAATCAATTAAAGTATTAATTCTCGTTAATGTGTTTGGGTTCCCTTTGACCTATAATAAAGGGTGGTCCTTCGAAAGTCCTCAACAGAGGATCATTTTGGTCACTTCGGTCGGATGTGAATTTATTGATTGTTGCAACCTGTGGAATACTGAAGAAGCCGTCAATGGTGAGCTCGTTCCTTTATATTTTCGTATTTTATCCATGATTCCAATCATAATTGAAAGTTTGTATAGTCTCGGTGTGATTAATAATAATTTATTTGTTGATTTAATCCATTTTTTTGCGGTAAATCTCGCATTGCACGTAAATAAATCTCGTTTTGCACGTAAATAAAGCTCGTATTGCACGTAAATCTTGTATTGCACGTAATAATTAAGCACGTAATCTCGTTATCATTTATTTCTCGCATAATTTCGCCTCGAATTTAAACCACGCCTCGTTTCACGTAATTTTCAGGTCTCGTTTCACGTATTTCTCACGCCTCGTTTCACGTATTTTTCAGGTCTCGTTCACGTATATAAATTCTCGTTTTCTCGTCTCGAAACACGAAACATTGAACTTTCAAGTTGATTTTATCGAAAGTTATAAAAAAAATAAATAAATAATAATAAATAAAAATGCCTCGTAATAAGAAAAATAACTCGAAAAATAATAATGATGATGTTATGCCAATTGAAACTCAAGAATTTTTACACGCAAGATCAGTAATTTGTGATAGGCTTCAACGCTTCGAAGACTATTTAACCAATGACGAACCCATTGATATTTTTCAACTCGAAATCAGGCTTAAAAGCGTTGAGGACGATTTTTCGGAGTTTGACCAGGTACAGACGCGCTTAGAATTTTTAGACAATGATGAAAAGGATTTTAGATTGGATACTGAATCATTATTTTACTCGTTAATATCGCAGGCTAAACGATTAATTGCAAATGAACGTAATGAACAAAAAGTAAATATCGCGAATAATACAATACAAAACGCACACGGGAATGTAGTTGGTAATACCAAAGTCTAAAGATCCTCGAACAAGTCCGCTCACTCTCACTCGTCGCCTAAAATTCCCCTCCTGCCGACGCGCTACTTCTAGCCTATGGTTTCCCTGCTCAAGAGGACCCTCGTCTATGCCTTCAGTTACCGGGTGGCTTGCATCGCGTTCTATATCAGGTGCGCCAAGCAAAAAGTGTAGTAAATTTTATTCGAAATTTTTGCGATTTGATAAAATTAAAACGCAATCATATATTTTTTAAGGTGTCAGCAATGGAAAGACATTTTAGGCTTTGTTGCAGAACATAGATAAGCAAACAAAATTAACACTCGAAGCGGCTAACAGAATTGTCAGAATATGTTCTGCACACTTTAATTAAAACTCATTCACTTTGTCCGAAAATAGTTATTTACCTAACAAGTGCGGAAACTTATACTTTTCTGCACGCAGCGGCAAGCCGTTAGTGCGGAAAAGATACTTTACGCTCGCGTTAGGTACAATATTTCTCCTACGAGCGTGCGGAAATTGACATATTGTTTTTTTATTTGTTTTTGGATCTACTGATCCTAAAAGAAATGGTCAAAAATTTGATTTTTCAGGAATTAGAAGAAGTATAGAATTTTTAAAACGTATGTCGCTTCTTGAACACACAAATAAAAATAATTTCCTATTTGTACATGAAATCGATTGCTAATACATCAATTATTGACGTATTAGCAATCGAAGTTCGTTTTTCTTGGTAATATTTTATTTCATCTAATTCGTGATTGATAAATAGGGATGGAATTATTCCAATGGGTATCAAAAATACTATTTAA